CGGGGGATCTTTTGGCTGTCTCTTGCTCTCAGTTGTGCAATGCGATGCACCAGCGCATTAAAATCTTTACCAGCTGCTGCAAATTGCTTTCTGTCCATCCCTATCTGACATGCGAATGCAAGAATTCCCATGTGCCAAGAATCTGAATGTTTTTTCTCTCTACTTTTATGCCTGGGCATAAGTGTCCTTAAGACACTTTCTTTTTTTTTGTGCCTTTCTCCTGCTTTCAGACAAGCGGCCTCTTGCGAAGGGAGAATCCCCACTGCTGAGTGAGCAAGAACTGAAATTTGGCAAACCTGAATGGCCTCCCATTTGCATCAATGTTCTGCAGTGAGTAACTGCATAAATGTGTGCAAAGGGAGGGCAAAGCTCACCTCATTTAGAGGACTTCTTCATGATGGAGAAGGTCCTCTGCTCTTGGCTAACTACCTCCTCTTAAATTTGTTGTTTGGCTCAAGAGGTTCCTCATTGGATTTAATAATGAGGTTGGGTTGAAACCTGTGAAAACAAAATCAAGTCCCTGTCCTAGGAAGCTCACTGGGTAAATCTTCAAGAGAACGGTAGAACTAGCCTTGGAGCAGGCTTTGACCTTGAATTGCTGGTGAAAACTTTTAGGTTTAACATATCAGTGGGTTGTAATTTAGCATCAATCAAATTCTTTGCCAGTTTTCTTACTCTGAAGGAGCAGAGTCAGTTGATTTAATGACTTGATTAGGGGGGAAAAAATAAGCAGAGAGCCATTCTTAGCCTTGAAGGTCACTGTCAGATGGGAGAAAATGGGAGAGAATTGTGGGTTGTGTTCACCCCTAATGTGCTCCTTTGGGTCCTGTGGAGCTGCCAGGCTCCCTATAGCTCCTGGGAAAAGGGAGGTACCCAGGAATACTCACTTAGTGAAGAACATGTTTTAAATTCTGTTTAAACAGCTGCTGTGCTAATGCAGCAGCTCTGTATGTGGCAGGATGTGCAGTGTTAGCCTGTCTCCCTTGTGCAGTTTGTGGAAGGGCTTGAGAGCATCTGCTGGGCTCCATAGGAGTATCTGAATGGCCCTGGGTGAAGGGTGGCCAGGAGCAAAAACTGAAGGACAGGAGGAAAGTGGCCACCGAGGCCTAGCTCTGAATTAGCTGAGGTTTTAAGTAAGGATATGAGTTAGAACTAGGTTGCAGCTCTGCGTAAGTAGAGCCTGGGCTGAACGCAAGGGAGCTGCTCCTCTCCCTGAGACCTTGTCTGCAGCACTAATGAAACCAGCTTGTCCTCAGCGCAGCAGCGCTGCAGGGGAGCTGCATCGCTGGGGTTATGGCACGCAGAACGCTCTGCAGCATCGCCGGGTGCACCCGGAGGGGACCAAGGGAGTGGTGGTGCAGATGAGTCCCGCTCCTCCAGGAGCGAGCCTCCGATGAGACCGGCTAGGTCATTCGGTCTCCAATTTCTAAGCATCAGCTAGCGCGCCCTGTGCAGACAGGGGAAAGGTGAAGAGGAGGAAGTACCGTGTGGCTTGCTGGCAAGTCACCCTCTCTGTGATGCACTGCAGCAAAAGCCCTCTCTGAAAGCTCTCCTGCCAAGAAGGACACTGCGGGCAGGGAGGGGGGGCTGAAAGTGCTGCTGCCAGCGCTGTGGCAGCCAAGCCCTGTCCTCTGCTTCCCGCCCCTGCCACCCCTCCTCAAACCACCTAGTGATGGAGTTGGCCAAGTCCATTGCGTGAGTGTGGTGTCCTTCTGGATGTCCTTCAACTGCAACCTGGGGGCTTGTTCCCAAGGGCTTTATCGGAGCGCTCCAGGGAATGCATGCGGTGGGGACGGGGTGAGCTGGACTTGGGGGACAAACCAGCACTGCAGCATCCGCTCTGCGACTGCCTGAGCCAAGATGTGGTGTTCTGGGGACTGGAATGAGTGATGTAGCACGTGATGTAGCAGCAGGGTTGATGGAAAGGGGCTGTAGCCCAAAGGGACTGATAGCAGCTGATGCAGTGCAGGTGATTCTCGGATTCAAGTCACTGCAGTGTGCACAGGCTACCTGGGCTGTACCCTGAGACAGGCAGCAAGATGAAAGGCAGCGCATGCACATGCTAGAGATTAGAGCTCGTCAAATGGTAATAACCTTTTCTGCCCCCCAAAACCAGGCTGCTACTGCAGGGAAAGGCAGAAATCTGCAGGCCACCCTGGTAGCACTCTTGCACCCTCTGTCCGAAGAGGATTGCACCCAAAGCAGTGACACAGGAGCAATGCGGGAGGTGCAGGGCTGCTGGTCACGCTGCACCGAGGACTTGACTTGCCTTTAAAGGGGACACATTGCTGCAGCTGGACCTGTTGGCAGCACAACCTGCTATAGCTGCACAGAATTTGTCATCCCTGCTTTGGAAGGAGTGGCAAGACTCCTAATGCCTTTTTTTTTTCTTTGGCTGTCTCTAACCCATGAGCCTAGCGCCTTATCTTGGAGTCGTAATGTTGAGGTAAAGAAGAAAGGACATCTTGGTTGCCTTAGATGTGATTTCCTAGTGCTAGTGAGCTGATAACTTATGGGAGAAGTGTGGTCTGCAGAAAGTCTCATGTCTGGGAGGGGGAAAGAAAGATACCTGTGGTAGTAAATTGCTCCCAGTTTGACTATTCCCATGCAGCACACAAGCTGAATGCACCACGTGATGGATGTTTCTGTTGGAAGGTATCATTCATGATATTTAGCTGACGTGTATTTTCAAGCTCTCTATTTTAAGAAACGGAGTGATTTCCATGTGATGAGTGTTTCTGGGAATGAAACCCTTAACTGGGAGCCAGGTTACTGGTGGTGTCTGTGTGTTTTGTCATATTAACAGCTCTCACGGTGCACTGTCTACAAACAGCTCCTTGAAATGGGGATGTTGTGGTAGCCTTCGTGTGCCCGTGCAGCCTGAGTTGAAGCTGGGCTCTCCTCTATGTTCCTCTTCTCCATGTTCCCCTCCTGCTGGGCTGCAGTAGCGGCCAGGAGGGACATTGAGACCCGTATGGACCTTTTCCACAGCTCTGAACTGCTGTGCGTCTGCTCAGGGTGATGAGGTGCCACTTCTGTGGACCCAAAGCTGCTTTCTGCAAGGCAGGAGTGAGCAGGGGGTTGCAGAGGGTTGAGTTGAAGTATTTCTTCTCATGGTGATCGCTTCATGAGGATGTGTGGGGTGCAGAGGTGACAGAGGACGGGTGGCTGGCTGAGCCAAGGCATCAGCGATCGCCCTGCTGTCAGCAGTTTAGCTTCTCCACTTCTACTGGAAACTCCTTGCTCCCACAGATGTGAATTGTACCACGAATACCTGCAATGCTCGAGAGTTTAGAGAAGGAAAAAAGTTGCCTGTTTCCCGGGAGGGTGTCACCGGAGCTGGGACCCGGGCTGCTCCGCTCCCAGCAGAGGGAAGCAGCGGCTCGTGAAGCTGCAGCGATGCCGAGGCTGCTGCTCCAAGGTGCTTCAGCCCTGCTCTGCCTGGCAAAAAAGAGCTCTCTCCGAGGAAAGCAGCGTTGCTCTTGCTGCTTAACAATAAAGCCTCGGAATAGCAGGGATTTGCTACCTGTAATTGCTTCAGCTAATCCTACCAGCAAGCTCTATGCTTTACCCCAGGTACTATTCTTAGTTCAGTCCCCACTAGATGCTTGACAGAGCAAATGCCAAGGCTGGATCTGTGCCCCAGGAGGGATTAGTTGAATGAGTCTGAGTGTGGAAGCATTTTCACTCTTTTTAAAAAAAAGGCAAAATCATGCAAGAGACTGAAGGACACCCTGCTTTTTTTCCCCCTCTTCAGAGGTAGGTACATGGAGTGTTGCTGCACATGGTGCTGGAAGTGCTCTTGGATGAACTGGGTGACCTGCAGTAAGCCCTGACCCTAGCCCAGGCAGTGGACTGGATGACTTCAGCTCCTTGTGACTCTGCTTTTATGACCTTAGTACAAAAGTGCCTCTTTTGTCATCTTGCCCGTTGATTTTTATCTGGAACTGGGTCTCTGGGTTGTTGCTGCCTAATGCACCAGACCCTGTGCTGTCTGGAGTCGGCTCCCGAGCGATGCCGTCCTGGAAAAGATTAGAGGCTGGAGCTGCCCCTTCTGAGGGAAGTGATGCAACTGCCCTGTCCTCCCTAACTTGCATTCCCTGACACTATAGGAGCAGGTTTCCGCACCACAGACCAAAGAGGAACACGTTAAAGTGCCTCCATTGCAGGTCTCTTTCTGGCTGGGAGCCCCAGTCCTTTCTAAAATGGGAATTGCAGACCGTGTCTAGGTGTACCCACACCTGGCTGCTGTTCCCAGCTGCCATCCGTGCAGTGCAGAGATCTAGGGCACTGCTTCATCCAGCTCCCAGCACATTAGGAGGAGGGAAAAGGGCCTTAGTAAGAGAAATCACCATCCTGCAAGTGGTGCTTGTCTGAGCAAGTCCAAGGAGACCATCAAAATGACTAAGACACTTCAGCTCGAGTATTCAGGTGTTTTATCTGTTGCTGGAAACACTCAGCTGCCTGGAACTTGGTTCCTTGCTCTGTGCCTCTGCTGCTGTTTCCATTTTCTGTAAAGGGTTGCAGGGTGCTCTAAGGCCTAATTACCTAGAAAAGAGTTGGGAGAGAATGTCAGGAGCCTTGGAGACCAGGAGCTTCAGAGAGATCTCTCCTGGTGATGTTTAAAAACAGGTTTTTGGCTATGAAATAGGGTAGTGAGAGAAGCAAAGGGGACCTGAGCTGGTGCACACTGGAGGAGGAGGCTAATTAGCTGCTGGTATGTAGAGATGGTTGGTGTGTCAAACCCCTGTTCGGAAGGTGGCTTTTCTTAAGGTATTTTTCCCCTCTGATTCTCTCCTTATGAACAAAATGGAGCTTTCTGATGGAAGAGAAGTCGCCTGTTAGTGACCTGTGACACTTTGCCTGGCAACCTTTATGAATCTCTTCCACTGTTTGGGATGGGGCTGGAATAGACAGGAGGTGGTTGGCGCCTTAATGGAGGAGCTGAGAAGCTCCCGTTTCCTTTCCCTCAATTTGATGCTTCTCTTTGACCCCGACAGGAGAAGCTGAACCTTGGTGTGTCGTCATCTCTTGGCTGTAGAACGAAGGAGATGCAGAGGAAGCTTGATTGAGACGGTAGCTAATGTCCCTGTGTGTATGTTGCTTCACTCTCATCTAATACTAAAACCTGCAGATGTCTGGCACACAAAAGCAGCTGCTAATCCATATATGTCACTGTGGTTAAGTGTAACTGTAAAGGTAAAATGTGAGTTAAAGCTTGCCCACATTCAGATTATAGTTCCCTGGAGTCTAAGGACAGAAGTCTGATGAGATAACTTGACCACTAGGCCATGATAATACATTCAGTTAATGTCTTAGCTCGCTGCTCCGAACCAGAATGCCTGAAAGGTGCCTCACCTTGACTTGAAAATGAAATAATCCACCATTACCCTCGATTTTGAATCTCCATCCCTAATGCTCTGCTGCTGTTTAAGTGTTTTAGCTAAGTTTAAGCTAGACGGGTGCAGGCAGCTTCCAGCCACTGACACTTCTCCTGCCTTGCTTTCAAAGAGCATAGCAGCAGGATCCAGAACTTCTCCCTGGCAGGAACCTCCTACCCTGGCATCAGGTTGTGTCTGAAGGCAGCTCATGGCGAGTGAGACCAGTTCCTGTTTTCCCATGTGTGACCAGAGCCCTAAACCCCCAGCAGCTGCTGGGGCAGAGCTCCCACTGCAGCACGAGCTGCTCTCCGTGCTCCACAGCGAGTTGGGCTGGTGTTTCCAGCTGTTAAATCTGCCTTGGTTATGTCACACTGATGACTCGCCTGCGTTTGCCACATCTCAAGCATTTGGCTGCAAACCTTGGCTTTAAAGGTAGCTTCCAGACTTGCCCTGACCTGTGGCGATACCACAAAGCCAACCTGAAGGAATCCACGTGCGGAGCAGCTGTAAGCGGGGAGGTTTGTGCAGCCACGGGTGCACCTGGGAGCTCCTGATGGTGCCGCAGCCCCGGAGCAGAAAGTGTCCCGAGGGCAGCGGTGCTGCAAGAACAGGCACCTGTTTGGGGCTGGGGGCTCCCATCTGCAGCCCCCTGCCTGGGGGGGAGAGGTTATTCAATGTCAGCTGACACCTGCACAGAAAAGTAGGAATTTATCCAGGCTGTCCCTCTGTAACCTGGTTCCTTCCTTTTGTCTTCATAGATCTTCCCCTTTATGCCATGTTGGGGGACGTCTCCCTTTTTCTCCTTTTTGTCTTTTTCTGCTCTTCATAGGCAGAGTAAATTCTAGGAAGAGACTTGCATTGTACAGGGAGAAAAAGGAGGCAGTTTTGGGAAGCAGTGGGAAGGGGAAGAAATCAGCTTCCGTGCAAGCAGGTAGCAGATACAGGGTCTGCATGGGTAGTGCACAGCCAAGTAGCACATGCTCTAATACTGGGTGGTCTGTATGGATGTCTCATAGTAAAGAAATACAAATTTGTTTGTTTATGGATCTTCTGGCACATTATCATTGATGTACGTAGTGAGTTGAACTTTTTCCTTCCCAAGCAGGTAATAGCAAAGTCTCCCAGTGCAGCAGCAGGGCTGCTTGAGTTTGTGCAGCACAGAAAACAGAATCTGGCCCCGCAGCCTTATTAATAACGAGCAAAGTAAATGTGAACACTCACTGATAGGAAAGATATCAGCATCATGTGTGAGCGGGGAGGAGGTGGCCGCAGTCCTGGCTCCGAAGGGCTCATTGCTCATTAGCTGCGTGCAGGTGAGCGCTGCTCTGGGGCTGCCTCCCTCTGCATCCTTGCTGTGTGCAGCAAAGTGGGGCGACCGCCGAGCTGTGGGTCCCGTCCCTCCGCCAGGCAGGATCCTGGAGGGACCCCGCGGAGAAGCCCATGGTGAAACAGAGGAAATCCAAGCGCGGTGCGAGCGTGCCGAAGCCCAAGTGCTCCTGCCCGACGCTGCAATTAATGATGCCGCACATGGAGAAAGCGGCTCCCGTCCTGTACCGCAACCCGCGTGCGCTGGCCGCCCCGGGGACACCTCATCGCGCTGCGCTGGGGGCCGGTCTCCCGCGTGCAGCTGGGCAGGCTCAGGAAGAGGCTTCTTTGGGACATGTCTGGGCTTGTTCGGGCCTGAGCCGCCTTTGTGTGTGCGCGGCCGCGGCGGCCCGGAGCCCGCGGCGCCGCTCGCAGCCGGCGACCCGCAGCATCAGCGACGCGGCTGCCGGCGCAGGTGAGCGGAGCTGCCCCGAGGGGCTGGGGAGGATGTGTGGTCTGTCGCGAGGCGCCGGTGGCCCTCGGTGCTGCGGGGGTCCCGGGGTGTGTGTGGCTGCAGCCCAGTGCTGTGCTGAGGCTGAGGGGGCTCCTCTTCCCTCACCGAGCCGTGGGTTGGAGCCCGGCACTGGGAAGCCCTGGCTCGGAGGGCAGGCGGCGCTGCGACAGTGCCACGGGAATGTCCTGTGCAGAGGGTGCCCCCAAACCCAGGCGGACCTGGGGGAGTTGGTGGTTCCTGGCACCCTCCTGCCTTCCCTGGCGCCCTGGGCGCTTGTGCTACTTGCTGCCGTGTCCTGCGTTTACCGGCGAGGAGGAAGGACACGTCTGCTCTGATCTTTGCTCCTTGCGAGCAGCCACCCGCCTCTCCTGCCACGCTCAGCGCTCATTATCCTCCCCGGCCTATTTCCAGTGCTCTTATCTGGCTCAGCAGGCGGCCTCCGCTTTCATTTCGGGGCAGAAGGGATGAATAATAGTTCACAGAGCTCGCTGGATGCTTTTCTGGAGGAGCAAAGCTCCCGTAGGCTGCTTGTGGGTTTGTTCCTTGTCCGGTCGAGCCGAGCGCTGGCGGAGCAGAGCCCGGCTCTGTCTTCGTGGCCGGGCGTCCTGTGCATCACCCGCCGCCTGCCCGGAGGTTTCGGGTGTCCGTGCAAACCTCCAGGGCTGTATTTGGTATCCAGGTAACTCTTACTTACACAGGAGACAGCAGCCCTTTGGAAAGGGCTACCACAGATGAGAACTGGAAGAGAGACCAGGAGTCGCTTGAGATCAGAGGTAAGCGAGCGCGGCCTGTTAAGGCTAATGGGAGGTGCAGCTTTGGTCCAGGTGTTCAAGCGTTTTGCTGAACTGTGTTCAAAAGATCTATGGGAACATTCCTTGGCATGTTTTCTTTCTCTTGCTCGCTCTGTTTGCCATCTCTGATATCCAAGTTGTTTGTAAGGAGCCTATCCCTCTCACCAGCAAAACCCTATCTGTGTGGGTGGGACTGGGTCTAGGGCTTTGCTTCAGGCCCAGCAAGTCCAACGGGGCCACATGTAAAACTCAGTGTTGTGCTCTGTGACCCTGCTCATATTCCCAACGGGGACAGACTTATGATAGGAGGCCCTTTTTCTTCCCCACCACTTCTTGCCCTCTGCCCCTGACCCAAGGATGCTGAGTGCAGGCATCTCCAAAGGCCACCGTGTCTGTTGTGTCATCTCACGCTGTGCTTTGTCCCCAAGAAAGTCAACTGATCTATTTAAAGTGGCTTCAGAAAGCTGAGGTACACGCGCAAAAAAAAGGGAAAAAAATGTGAATTGTGTTGCTGGGGCAGCAGTGTGAGGTTAGCTCATCTTGGTGGTGGTGTACTGGACCTGATTGTTTTGTTCTTTTGACTCCAGGTTTAAATTCCCTAAAACTAGTTTTGTGGGTTTGTGGGGCTTTTTAGCATTCCTCTGAGCTAATCTCTGTCAAAAACAACTATGTAGACAGAACTATGGATAAGCCGTAGGGAGGGTGTTTGCAGAAAGAAAGGAGAAACTCTTCTGAAAAGAGTGACTCACGAGCTTTCTTTTCCTGCTAATGACCAGTTCTGTTCTCTAATGCTTTGCTGTGTGTTTCCAAGCACTTCTTGTTACTGAGCATGGACAAGCTCATCACATGGGTGAATTAGCTGCAGTTTTCAGTGGCAGGAGCAAGAAAAAATTAGGTTTCTCAGTCCTGGCCTGTTGACCTGACCATGCTGCTTCATAGTATGGAAGAACTGTATTTTTAATACAGATCTCAAAATCCTTATGTTAGTTGTACTATGCCTTTGGAAAAAGGCTGATGAAGTGAGAAGTGGAATGCTGAAAAGATGTCAAGCCTCCTTTTTATGAAAAATACGAAGCATTATTTGTATCAGGTGTCTACAGCTGCAGGGAGAGGCTTCTTCCTCAGCAGAATACCTTGTATGGCTGGGATGTCCTTTTGGTGTTTGAAACATGCTCATCCATTTGTTGACAAGTTGATGTTTCCCTGCCTTCTGAAGGTGGAGCACCAGGGACTTTCCAGGGACTCGTATGGTCCATCTCTTAGAGCCAATCTGATAAGACAGGAGCCATTCTTTCTTTTCCAAAGAGATTCAGCTGAAGGGATTCGCACAGCTGTGGGACTCTATCTGTGCCTTTAGTTTTATGTATTTGTCGCTTGTATTTGCCTCTATTGTAGGAGAAGTGACCAGGCATCAAAGCAATGTCCAGCCTGTCTGAAGCAGCCCTTCCCCACAAACAAGGCTCCTTTAAACTGAGCACAAGAGAAGGTGTGCGTAAGGATTAGCACAGCCAAATGCTTCATTGCTGAAGGTCTCTGGGCCTGGCTTTAGGTACTGTCTCCTGGTCATTCAGTCTTCTGCTGTGCCGCTTTACCAGGGAAACAGCTGAGGTGCAAGACTTACCTTGCCCTGAACATTGCAGTGACTAATGACTGGATGAAATATACTTTACAAGGAGTGGTAGTGAAGGAATCCCCTCTTTGAGGTGAGGGGGAATGCTCATGCACTTCTAAGGTTGGATGAGTCTGCTCCCATCTAGTCAGTAAAGTTAGAATTTGGGTGCTGTTGACTTTGGGCTCGTGCTCGCAGGCGGCTTGGTTAATGAGTCATGGGTGCCCAGGTGTGGCAGACAGACCTCTGAAAACCACCGTGCCCTGGACTCTGCCCAGGCCTCTCCCAAAGCCCTGAATCAGCAGCACCCCAGAGAGCCCGGCAGACTTGGCTTGCTCCGATGGAGCCAGGTAGGAGAGGCTGCTTCCAGGAGACACAGCCCTAAGCCCGGCTCTCCTCAGCAGCGAGGTCTGCGGTGGTCGCTGCTGAAAAGGACCTTGTCCAGCGCACGTCTGCACAGCAGTGAAGTGCACTCGTGTGGAGGAAGCAGCTTGTTCAGCTGCTGCTCGAGAACTATTTGTTTAAGCTCCAAAATGAGAACTTAAAACAAACAAAAGAAACTTCTATTAGATGTCATACCCAGAGAAGTAATGTTTATGGTAATCAGCAAATTAACCACACAGCAAGCTTAACGGAGCACTTGGAGCATTTGTGCCTAAGCCTTTGGCTGCTAAGATTCAGTCCGAGGGTGTTTTGCTGAAGTTAGGTAAGGATTAAGGAGAGCACTGTGTGAAGGGGAGAGAATAAACAGCAAGCTCAGCGTATCTGATACCAAGGGGCCTTTGCACTCCCAGTAACAAAGTGCTTGGTGCTTTTGAGACCAGTAAGGCTGGACTTGCTTTGGGAGCTCAGTCACAATTAAGATGTGGCTCTTGGACAACTCAAATCTTCTCTAGGGGGGAAAGAGGAAAAAAGGTAACGAGAGCTCTGCTATGTGCTGTTATCGGGAGGGGAGGAACAGGATATACTAGGATATGGAAAGCAGTTTCTTTCATTGTATGGGAAAAGTGGAACCTGAAAGGAAATTGTGCAGGATCTCCAAAGGAAGAGCTGTTTATCTGTGCTGTGGAAGAAGGCACATATTTGCTATGGTGTGTGTTTACACGGCATGTAGAGAAATTCAGTCAGTGTTGTGCATGCTAATTCTGTAGCTTTATCTTGCTGTGGAGATTTCATCTGGTTTGAGCCAGTGATTTTGGCAGGGCCCAGTGAGAATCCCAAATGACTCACTTGATTGGGATGTGGTGGACTTCAATTAAGATCCCATGTAAGGGATGGGAGGGGGAAACAGTTACTCTGGATTTCTTTTAGTGTGCCCTTAGCTGTGCCATGCTCAGGGCATCGCTGTATAGTCATAATTCTGAATATGGCTATACTAGAATAAGAGCTAAGGGTAGGTCTGGCTTCAGCCTGCAGCATGATCCTGGTGCTACAAAAAGCAGTGGCAATTTTCACTTGCCACTGCACTAGGCTCACCCAGATGGCTGCGTCCCCCTGAGCCAAGCCTAAAACCTCCAGCGTCAGGAATGGTGCTGTCCTAAAGTGCAGACCAGTCCTGGGCTGGGACTATTTCTCAGGTTGCTTATCCCCCGGTGCAATTTTTGCCAGTCTCACTGTGCTTTAGAGACCCGAATCCCCCGTGCTGCCTCCTCTCTCCGTAGCTGTGCTTCTCCTTGCAGGCAGCCGGTGACTCAGTGCTCAGGTACAGTCCTGCTTCCGTGTCGGTGGCGAGGCAGGAGCGCTGGCCGTGCCAGGCAGAGCCGGGGAAGCCGGAACCGTCGCCGGTTGCAGAGCGTGAGCGGTGAGGAGGTGTCTGCACCTCCCGGCGCCCCTGCAAAACCCGAGGCATGAGGGAGCTCCGGGATGGGCTGCGGGTACCAGTGCCAGCTGGGTCATCTTCTACCACAGAACAAACTGGTAAATCTCTCTCCTATCTAAGTTCCTGCCGATATGTCTCTCATAAGCTTTGATATGTGATCAATAAATTTTTAAAAAAGCAAGGGGGAGTTGTTGAGCAGTTTGGCTTGTCCTTAAGGAATCAGGGTGCTGGAGGAAGTCTGGAGATAGGGAGAAATATGGTTCTTGTACTGCTTAATAAGCTCTGCCAAGAGTCATAGCCCAGTACTATTTCACCTGGGGGCAAATCTCTCCAGGTGCGTCTAGAGGAAGGAGTGGAGAAGGATGCAAGTTGCTTGTGGTGGGATTTCTTTTATACTTAATACCAAAAAGGTCTTCAGTCTGTGTTGAGAAAAGGTGATGGTTTTCTAAGATGAATTTGTCTGCAGTGATTTGGGAGAAAGAACTAATATCTCACTTCTTGCAGTCCAATTATGATGTTAGAGCAGAATAAGCTATTTGGGGGTCGGGATGCTGCTGCTGCTATCACACTAGTGTACCTAGCCCAGTAGTACTTGGGCAATTGACACTTTGGACTGTACCGCAGAGCGACAAAATGAATTGCTTTGTCTGCACTAACTTAAAAGATTGCCTGGATTTATAGAACATTAGTCTAAAAGGATGTTTTTCTGTCTGAGTCTTTCCCGCTCCCCGTTGCTTCAATCTCACGTGTAGGTGGTAGTGTGCATGTGGGCTGGTGAATTCTTGCAGGTAACCAGCAGCAGCAGGGGCACCTAAATATGATCTGGAAAATTAAAAACAGGATCATTGTCATGTTACAGAGATAGGAGGTAGCTCCCTGAAGCACCTTCTCTCTGGCTCTATTGTGCTCACTTTTCAGGGGCTTAAAGGAGAATTTTACACTTCCATGAGCAGGTGATTCTGCAGTCTCGTAGGTCTCTTGAGGATGAGAGATGAAGTAGTATCTCCTTTTTCTGCACCTGATTGCTTTGCTGCAGCTGTGTTTGTCCCTGACCCGCTAATTGCCTTTGAGATAGTCTGGTTTGTTCTGATCCTGATGGGAAATACTGGATGGATGATTAGGTCATTGTTTAAACAAGACAGCTAATTCCAGAGCAGGACACATTTTCAGGGCACGGAGGTAGGGACTGTTGTCAAGTCTAGATTTTGATGGGTTTGAATTGTTTGCTCTTTTTTCTCCCCCTCGGGTTGAAAAGGGTGCAGGTAAGGAATCTGTTAATTAACCATGGTTGTCTCATGGGTTACAGGGAATGGAACCTTCTCACAGTACATGGTGGGTGTCCCTGTGTCCTCTGCTGCACTATCCTGTCAGCATGTAGATTGCTTAAATATCTCTGCATACACTTGAATAGTGGTGCCAATTGATCATTGAAATCAGCTGAAAGCTTTGGAAAAAAACCAAAATGAGCTCCTAGTTATTTAGTGTTTTATCTTTTTACTTCCGTGTTGCACCAGAGGCTATAGGAGTAATAAACTGCTTTTGAAACTGTGATGCAAGAGCAAAGGAATTGCTTTGCCCTGAAGGTTGTCTTCCCATGTGTTCACCTATTTCCAGGAGCTGAGGGTTTCAGGAACACCAGACAACATTACATACCTTGGATATCTTGGGTTGTTTGATCCCATTCCATGTGTGTAATAGGAAAGTCCAATGGTCTTAGTGCAAAGAAGTACTGGTTCTCTTTTTGTGTTTGTTTTGCAGATGACTGTTCCAATAAGTTCTCCTTCTGCCCAACACCACATGTGACTTAAGAGAAGAGCTGGGCAGTCGAGCGAACCCACCAAGAGCTTCAGTCTCGTGTCTCCAACTACCCAGCATCCGGAAGTGATTTTTTGTTGTTGTTCTTCCTCAATCTTGCCTCGTGGGGCTGTTTGAAACTTGGGAGCTAACTGAGGTAAATATGGATAGCAGACAAGTAAGCTAGGTTTATCTTTTTAATATTGATAATGTTTAGAGGCTTTGACCGAGATTGGGGGTAAAGAACAAGATATGTCAACTTAATTTTGAGCCTCTTCTCCCTGAAACTGTTTTCTTTCATACTCCTGCAAAAGTGTCATTGACTCTCTATTTGTCCCCAGACTCCTGCCATTGTGGATGAAAAGCAAGGTCATTGAGCAGCCCACTGTAACTCCTCTCCTTGTGATGCCAGCTGTGAGTGTTTCTTTGGCAGTGTCTTAGCTGGTTGTTGTGAGCAATAGTTGAGGAAGCAATCAGCAAGTATACTGCCCTAGAAGTGCTGCACATTGTTGGGCTTATCTCATATCTCCCTGGCTTCGGAGCCGGACGTGGAGCCGGATTGGGATGCTGCCCAGGTGTGCTGGGCTTGGGGTGTTTGTCATGGAGCAGAGGGCTAATACGAGAAATGCCCCAGGATGCCAGGTGATACGGTCGCTGCAGCAGAGACACAAAATGAAGAAAGAAGATAAACGTGTGGCAAGTTGCTCTGTTCTTCTGGTATTTCCACCCATGGTTTCCTGAAAGGAAAACTTCAGCTAGCGTTAGTAATGCTGCAAGAATATGGCAGTGAGTCCTGGGAGAAGGGCTGGTCTCTTTAGGTAGGATTTGTTTGAGCTTTGACCTCGGGCTGGTAATGACAGAGTGACTTGGCCCTGTGCTGGTGTGTGACTCACTTGCAATCGCTGTTTCTTCTGGGTGCCGGTCAGCAGCTGTGCGCAACGCAGAGCACAGCCCCGGAGTTCCCAGCTCTGCTGCTTCACAGATTGAAGCTGTTCAGCTGCAATAGCATTTGAGGTAGTGGTATAAATCCCTGGAGGCACAAATACAGCAGGATGCAGGAGGGAATGGAGACCTTAGGCACTGTCCTGTGCCTCGCTCAGATTGCACAAGTGAAAGCCACAGGCATGTTTGAGTCGCTCCCTGGAGCCTGTGGTATTTAAATGTCCCTAGCTGATGTGCTACTTAATGCTCTTGCACAAAGTGCCACCGCTCCGTGTTTTTGTGGAGCAGGCATTGGCTGAAAGGGCCCAATGCAATGTCTGCAGCGTGGCTGGGGTGACAGCCGAGCGCTTGGGCTTGACATGCATCACTTGCTGTGCAATTCCTGAACAGCTTCACCTGTGGTGATAAAGTATTTATTATGACTTTGAATTCCAGTGCAGAAGATAATGTTCTTCAGCTTCCTGTATCTAAATCTAGTGTAGTAGTCATTGAGCCATGACTGTTTCTGGAAATAAATGAGCATTTTATTTCAATGAGTTTAGTTAAATTTGCTCTTCATCCCTGGAGAAGTTGACTATTGCAAACAGCACCGATGACCAAGTGACACAGTGTGTTGGGGGCATGGTTGAGCCCCTTGGTTGGATAAAAGAGCAGCCAAGTACCCAGCACCCATGCATAGCAGCAGAGATGTAGTAGCTTAACCCAAGCATCTTGTGCCCTTTCCACCAAGGGAGACTGGGGGGGATGAACTGGTGTCTTACTGCACAGTTTTAGGGTCATCTTTGGCTTCTGGGCTGTAGGTGTTGAGCACAGTGCGAGTGTCCTCACATGAGGAAAATGGTCTCCTGGGCTCTGAACAGTTTCCCATTAGCAAAACTGCCTCTCTGCTGCTTTGCACCTCGTCTGTGTCAACCTGCACTGAGGGAGATTTCCTGCTTGGTAATCAGGAAAGCTGGCATGCTTCATGACTCTTCCTACACCAAGGGTCTCATTAGCTTTATATCCTTGTCTCATCTGCGTCAAAACTGCAGACTGCAGGCAGAGCCATGTGCTGCAAAGTGTACTATGCAGCTCCAATCCCATTTACAGGAAAAGCTATCCTAGAAAGCTGCTATTTGGCCTATTTTCCTATCACTAAATTAGATGTAGCCCATATATTTGTCTTGCTACCATCTTAGTACTGATCTTGTAGTGTAATTTTTTATTCATTGCATATTTAAGTTTCACTGTTAATGACCAGCATTAATACCTCCATTTTTCTCCCTGCAATCACAGCATTCCGGAATATCCCTTATTAATCTCCTAATTTAGATTAGAAATGGAAAACTCTCCCAACATGGGGAGCATACAGCATTTCATTGATTGTGCTGGCCAGGCTCCAGCAGTGTAACTAATTATGCTCTTGTTGACATAAAATTCTCCTTACAGCGAGTGGCCCTTTTGCCAATTGCTGGCTTGAATTCCTGGGTGGGCTCTGCAGCCTGACGCGGCATTTTGGATGCTAATGGAAAACTCCTTAAAATGACTAAGCACCTCTGCTTCAGGGCAGGAAAGGTGCGGAACTGAGTATTTCAGTCTATGGAAAAACACGAGCCAGGCTGGAGCAGCTACTCCCACGTCCAGGCTGGGACCTGGCCATGGTGAGCAGACCTGGCACCTTTGGAAGGGGTCTGTGATGTTACAGAGCAGCGGAGGGATGAAGGCAGGAAAATGGGAGGATTAACCCCAAAGTAGCAGCAGGGGGAAGAAATGGATACTGGGATTTTACATAAGCAAAATAAAACAATATTCTGCATGGCATTTAATTGTGGAAGTCCTAGATTGAAGCTATTTATGCTGTCTTTCCAACTATTGTAATGGCACAAGTATTGAGTAGTATTTTACTGCCAGCTTTTATTGCATGACCCCCTGTTTCCCGGTGGGGAGGAAGAGCTGCTGGTGTTGATTTTTCCCTGTAGAAAAGGGGATTAACCCAAACAACAGGTGACTCTGTGGTGGTGCCCGCGTGGCAGACGTCCCGGGTGTGGGCGCCGGCAATGCGGCATCCACGTGCAAGAGGGAGCTCTCCTCCGTGAGCGGCTCCAGCCTGGCGTTCTCCAGCCTGGCATTTGTCTGCCTTTCCCACAGATCTGCTGCTCGGTGTCCTTAGCTGGCTGAAGCTCCGGCTTGCTTTACTTGGATGCTGGAGAATGGCTGGGAATTCAGTGTATATGTAACTGCCAAAGTGGTGTGATTTCTATAGAGTATGATCCGTGTGGCTGGGGGATTTCTCCTTTCCATGGGCTAGACCCAGCTCCTCTGCAGCATGTCTGGGCTTGTCGTTTAGGGACGGGGTTCCCCTGTTTATCCATGCTAAGCTTATTCCTTCCCAAAAGGTCATGGGCTGAGCTGCTGCATGCTAAAGGTTTTCTTTTAAAGCTTTTTTTTCCCCCAAACTAAGCCCCTCCTGGCTGAATTTTGGCTAAGTTTTTCAGTATATGCTTATTTTTCACGGATACAAGAGTATTGAGCTCTGCTTCCCTGTGAGCTTCTCCTTGCTGCAACCGCTGTGCAAGCTGCGGGTGTGGAGACGGCTTGGGGTGACCCAGGGGAGGCTGCTGGGGACGGAGCAGCGTCTCCATCGGCATTCCAAGCCCCTGCTTGATCTGGGAGATGCTCCCAGGAGAATCCTCCGCTTGATCTGAGCAGCGATCTGTCGTAAGGAGGTTTATGGAGCTCGGAGCTGCCGTGGGGAGGCAGGGGACACTTACGCTGGCGTAGTGACACTTGCGGCCTTAAAGTATGAGCAATGAAGGCAGCCCAGGCCGTGCTGCCTGGGTACCAGGAGGTACTGAAGGTAAGTGGTGCCCAAGGTAAGTGGTGCCAGCTCCTCCCTTCCATCCGCACCATTCCGAGGCTGAGATGTTATGGAAACGTCCGTGCTCGGTGAGGTGTTTCTTGCTGGTTAGGCCAGCACAGCCCATCTTGTGCTTAGCAGAGGAGAACTTAAGTAGTTAAAGCTCAGCTGCTGCTGGACCAGCTGCAGGGGCGGCTTGGGGGCCAAGCTTCCTAAGGGCCAGGGGAAGGAATTAAGTCAGGAAAACATGAAATTCCCAAAGAGAACTTTCATCTCACATGCTGCTTTACAACAGGCTGGTGGCTCAGATTTTCCTCCTCCCTGCCCTCAGCTAAGTAGATCTCTGCCTTGGAGTGCTCAGGTATTTTTAAGCAGTTTCCAAACATTTCTGTTCTCCAGACAGTTGTGGATTCCAAGGGCCTGGGGGCAGGAATGGGTTTCAGGATAGAGCTGAATGGCTGTCCTGCAAGGCAGGGAGCAGTGGTGGGGCAGCAGGTAGGTACCAAGCAGTAGCTATCAAGAAAGTGGAAGGTGGGTGGGCAATTTCTCTAAATTAATTGTATTTACACTTTCACAAAATAGTGAGAGATCTAACAAAGGATGCTACAGGTATTTCTATTTATTTTGATCTCTGGGGGCTGAAGTAATTCTTCTGGTGAAACTGGACAAAACAGGAATGGAAATTTCTCCAAAAACTTTTGTTGTGGTTCACGTTCACCTATTCAGTTCTCAAAGCAGTTTAAGTTGGGTCACTAAAGCCTATGGAAACAATTACCCTGCAAGACTGGAGCTGCCTTGTCAGACCGCTCCTGTCACCAAAAAGATCAGCAACACCCAAAATCCAGGGCTGAGGATGAAGTGGTTTGTCCGGATGGTTGTGACAGGTGGGTGGCTCTGTCCCATTTCATTTTGTGCCAGGAACGTGGCAAGAGGGAAACAAAAGACATGTAAAACACCAAGAAGGTGCAAGAGCAGCTGTAGGCAGCAGCTGTGACAAAGTTTTATGTGTTTTTTTGGGTCAGATGGTGACTAAGGGGAGCCTGGAATAATGACTTAATGTCAGACTCTGTTCAGGGGAAATGCAACTTGCTGCAACTTCCTTTCCCTATAAAGAACATGCAGAAGGTATATGACTCCAAAGTGAATTCCTTCTTAGAAGGGAAAGCCTGACAGACTGAAGTCAAAAAGCTACGGAATTTTTAAGGAAGTAATTTTAAAACAAAGCAAAAGCCAAAGACCAAGAAGAAATGCAACCAGCCTGGGTATGGCTGGAGACTTGGTAAAGAATGTGAGTCATTTTTATAGAGCTGTATCTGGGATCTTCTGCAGAGGCAGCTGTGGGGCTTGCCCTTGATGCTTCTCTGGAGCAGAAGCCCCCCGGGGGGGGGGGGGGGCGTTGAACAGCTTTAGGATGGTTGGTGGGGTTGCTCTGTGTGCTGACTTGGGTGGATCCTTCCTTGATGATAGCTGGGGAGTGATTAAGCTGTTTTATGGACCAAGATACCTGAAACAATAGCAATTTCCGTAGGGAATAGGCACATTCCCCATCCAAATCTGAGCCAGCTTCACCGAGCCATCTGTATGGAAGCAGACGAAGTCACAGCCGAGGCAGAGGAAGGAGGCCGTGCTCCCAGCCTGGAAGGGGCACGAGCCCTTCCCCACCAGCATGCCATCCGTTTGCTGCAGCGGTGGTGCCCGCTCTGCTCGTCCTGCTGCACCGGGCGATGCCCGGGGGCCGAGACACCGCGGGCCCCGCCCCGAGGTGAGCGGCGGGGGGGTGGGGGGAGACCCCCGAGGTGAGCGGCGGCGGCGGGGGGAGAGGGACCCCCCGAGGTGAGCGGCGGGGGGGGGGACCCCCGAGGTGAGCGGCGGCGGGGGGGTGGGGGGACCCCCGAGGTGAGCGGCGGCGGGGGGGAGAGGGACCCCCGAGGTGAGCGGGGGCGGCTGCCCCATAAGCCGCGGCCGGGGGGAGCCGCACGCTCGCGCTGCGGGCTCTGCCTCTGCAGTGCCCGGACGGGGCTATTTGTGGCGGGGAAGGGCGGGCCGCGTTGAGCAAGAGGCAGCACCGCTGCCCTGCCCCGGGCAGCCTCCCCGCCCGCCGCCGGGCCGGGCTCGGGGCCGGGTCTGGGCCGGGCTCGGGGCCGGGTCTAGGCCGGGCTCACATGACGGCGGGGGCGGGTCGGGCCGCGCCGCCTCCTCGCCGCTCATCGCGCGCTCGCGGCCGCCCGCCGCTGCCCCGTCCCTCTCCTCCTCTTCCTCTGCCACCTGCAGCCTCCTCATCCCCGCGCGCGATGCCCACGCCGCTGCCGCCCACGCCGCTGTACACGTCGGAGCGCGTCGCGGTGCTGCTGTCCTGCGCGCTCTCCTTCGTGGGCTCCGGCCTCCTGGTGGGCACCCACGCCCTGTGGCCCGAGCTGCGCACCCGCCCACGCCAGCTCCTGCTCTACCTCTCGCTGGCCGACCTCCTCTCGGCCCTCTCCTACTTCTACGGGGTGCTGCGGGACTTCGAGAGGACCTCGTGGGACTGCGTGCTGCAGGGCGCCCTCTCCACCTTCTCCAACACCAGCTCCTTCTTCTGGACCATGGCCATTGCCCTCTACCTCTACCTCACCCTCGTGAGGGGCTCG